TGTTAGTGTGTACCTGGTATTTATCACATTATGGGGACCAAATGTCCCCACAAGGATAGTAATACTAGTAAATTTTGACCTTGTGGGGGCATTTTTGAGGTCCCCATGAGGAAACAAGCTTATAAATCATACAGAATGAGTTTTTTTGAGAAAGTAAAAATGCACAAAGTTTCCTGTAAGGAGTAGGTTTAGGGGTAGGGTTGGTGTAGGGCAATAGCACATACAGTTTGTACAGTATAAAAACCATTACGCCTATGGAATGTCCCCATAAAACATAGAAACACAACATGCGTGTGAGTGTGTGTGTGTTTACTCACATTGGCAGAGGGGTTTCGCACCGTCACGCTCGGTGTCGTGGCTCTAAGCGCTCCACTCAAACCATGATAACCATGATAACAAACCTTGGTCTCAGCTGCACAAGAGAGAGAAACAGAGGAACAGAATGACATGAAGGTCATGAAGGTCACAACTTGCACGCTGATCCACGACTCAGGAGGAAACCCAGCAGAAAATCCCCACATTCTCTCAAACTCAGTGCAGGAATCAGAAGCTGAGTTGGTGTTATATTAATTACATAATCACACCAATTACCCATTATTACAATTACAAATAACATATACATTTGATGAATAAATACATTTTCTTCAGTAAAGGTGTGTAGAGCACACAATGAGAGAGTGGCTGTTAAGGTGCTTCTATAGGACATAATTGATAAGATATTTAGAGTGATTTTTAGCATGTTGCTATGTGGTTGCTAGGTAGTGGATAAGGTGTTCTGGGTGCTGCAAGTTGGTCTTCAACAAGTCACACAGTTTTTTTGTGAGAAATGGAAAAGGATGCATTAAATTGATCAAAAGTGTCAGTAAAGACATTTATAATGTAACAAAATATTTATATTTCAAATAAATGCTGTTCTTTTGAACTTTGTATTCATCTGTGAATCCTGAAAAATAAAATGCATCACGGTTTCCACAGAAATATTGTGCAGCACAACTGTTTTCAACATTGATAATAATCAGAAATGTTTCTTGAGCAGCAAATCAGCATATTAGAATGATTTCTGAAGATCATGTGACACTGAAGACTGGAGTAATAATGCTGAAAATACAGCTGCGCATCACAGAAATAAATTACAGTTTAACAGAGATTCACATAGAAAACAGCTGTTTTACATTGTAATAATATTTCACAATTTTACTGTATTTTTGATCAAATAAATGCATCTTTGGTGAGCAGAAGAGAGTTTTGAACGCTGGTGTACCATTATTATATTTGTATACCATGGTATTTCAATGGTACTGCTTCAAAGAACACCATGGTTTAAAAATGGTACATGTCCAAAAAAATCCAAGCAACTATGGAAATTTTGGATGAATATCATACTCAGATTGGTGCAATAAAAGCTGACAGCTTGCTAAAGTCAATGTGAAAGTTAACAGAATTTCATGACATGTCTCCTAGGGTGCGTTTCATATTTCAATACCATTACGCCTATGGAATGTCCCCATAAAACATAGAAACACAACATGCGTGTGAGTGTGTGTGTGTTTACTCACATTGGCAGAGGGGTTTCGCACCGTCACGCTCGGTGTCGTGGCTCTAAGCGCTCCACTCAAACCATGATAATATTTGAAGCAAACCTTGGTCTCAGCTGCACAAGAGAGAGAAACAGAGGAACAGAATGACATGAAGGTCAAGACATTGTCAACTTGCACGCTGATCCACGACTCAGGAGGAAACCCAGCAGAAAATCCCCACATTCTCTCAAACTCAGTGCAGGAATCAGAAGCTGAGTTGGTGTTATATTAATTACATAATCACACCAATTACCCATTATTACAATTACAAATAACATATACATTTGATGAATAAATACATTTTCTTCAGTAAAGGTGTGTAGAGCACACAATGAGAGAGTGGCTGTTAAGGTGCTTCTATAGGACATAATTGATAAGATATTTAGAGTGATTTTTAGCATGTTGCTATGTGGTTGCTAGGTAGTGGATAAGGTGTTCTGGGTGCTGCAAGTTGGTCTTCAACAAGTCACACAGTTTTTTTGTGAGAAATGGAAAAGGATGCATTAAATTGATCAAAAGTGTCAGTAAAGACATTTATAATGTAACAAAATATTTATATTTCAAATAAATGCTGTTCTTTTGAACTTTGTATTCATCTGTGAATCCTGAAAAATAAAATGCATCACGGTTTCCACAGAAATATTGTGCAGCACAACTGTTTTCAACATTGATAATAATCAGAAATGTTTCTTGAGCAGCAAATCAGCATATTAGAATGATTTCTGAAGATCATGTGACACTGAAGACTGGAGTAATAATGCTGAAAATACAGCTGCGCATCACAGAAATAAATTACAGTTTAACAGAGATTCACATAGAAAACAGCTGTTTTACATTGTAATAATATTTCACAATTTTACTGTATTTTTGATCAAATAAATGCATCTTTGGTGAGCAGAAGAGAGTTTTGAACGCTGGTGTACCATTATTATATTTGTATACCATGGTATTTCAATGGTACTGCTTCAAAGAACACCATGGTTTAAAAATGGTACATGTCCAAAAAAATCCAAGCAACTATGGAAATTTTGGATGAATATCATACTCAGATTGGTGCAATAAAAGCTGACAGCTTGCTAAAGTCAATGTGAAAGTTAACAGAATTTCATGACATGTCTCCTAGGGTGCGTTTCATATTTCAATTTAATTTCTCAAAGCACCCTGCTAGTGCGTGTGGCATATGCTAGCAAAACACAAAGCATTAGATGTGTTACATCTGCTATTGCCATGTACAGTATGAAGACTCCAGCGGAGCGATGTCCTGTCAGAGGCTTTCAGATGTGTGTGTGTCGATGTGTGTGTGAGTGTGTGAGTGAGTGAGTGAGTGAGTGAGTGAGTGAGTGAGTGAGTGTGTGTGTATGTGTGTGTGTGTGTGTGTGTGAAAGTCTGTGTGTGTGCAGATGGACCGTGCTCCTCCAGGTGAGTTTTCATGGCTGTCTTATTTCCATGCGCTGCTCACACCTGGCTTGATTTCACTTGAATAATGCAGAGCAATTTTTTTCCTAACTGCTCGCATTTGCGCATGTAGTGGCCTCAAAAAGTATTTTTGACACTTAAGCCTCATTCCTAAAATGTTTGAATGATATTGCATTATATGGCAAAATATCAAAGCAAATGTAATTTTTTAAAGATAGCACAAAAATCCATTCATTTAAAAACTGTACCAAAAAAAATCACAGTTCTTTGTGATTAATTGTGCAATTAATAGCACCTGATTTTAAAATTTGTAATAATAAATATTGAATACCATAATTAATGTAGGATATTCATAAAGAGAGTATATTTTAAATAATATTTATTTAATGCCATTTTCTTACCCAAGTACTATCAAGGTTAGTATCAGTGATACCCATAATGATATTGATTCTTCTATTAGATAAAAAGTAGTAATTAGAGCTATTCAACATTACATTTAATACATTTACATTTACATTTAGTCATTTTGCAGACGCTTTTATCCAAAGCGACTTACAATTTGGGGATACATAAACTGTTGAGGAGGAAGACAGCCTATTTATAGTTGCCTCATTAATTGTGTTTTTTTTCAATGTTTATGTTAGTTCTTATTAACTGCCAAAATGAATGCATTATTTTCCCCAGCCCTAGTTTGGATCATTATTTGTGTTACAAGCTGCAAAAATCATCAGGATTAAACCAACAACTACAAACAAACCTTTCATTTCTTTGGGCTTCATTTACAAAACGCAACCAGAACAAAATGAGTTATACAGTACATAAATGGTTTAACTAAAATTCACCTCATCCACCAGAGATGAATCAGATTAGATTCATCATGTTAGATGCTCTGAATTTACCAAGTGTATGATGTATTATGTAAATCTGATTGATTTTTATGATAATTGTGTGTTTCATCTCTGCAACTTCATATAAATACTACATTCATCACATTTTTTTTTCAGGAATTCAATTCTAAAGTTTTAAATGAACAGTATGTCTCTAGCGCATCTCATTTTATGCCGCAGCTGCGCGGGAGAAAACACATAATGAGACAGAGGAGACCGTCATGGAGGATATAAAGGCAGATGGCGAGGAGCTTCAAAAGCTGAACATCTGAATCTGGCTGGTCTGAGATATGGAAAGAGATGCATGGAATGAGAAAACAGATTTATATAATCACGCTGCTTGATTTGACAGCCAACCAGCACGAGTGAGTCGAGGTGGAACATTCCCAGATCAGAAATGAAGACAGTATTGAAAATGTGCAGACGCTGAGAAATACCCTCGCACAGAAACTTCACAGGGATCAGAAAATAAGCCGACTGCAGAAATACAGCGACGGAGTGAATCCTGAAGATGATGAAGTCCACCGGACTCCCGACTGCATCAGTGGCTGTTGTGAAATTGGACTGTCTATTGCTTTTTTGGCAACATCAGCGATTTGCAGAGGAATATGTCAAACCCAAACCCTGAGGCGACTTTGTAAAGGTGCATTAATGGAAGAAAGAGACAAACAGTCAGGATGAAATGGGAAGAGAAATACTGACCCTCCATAAAGTACAAGCTGGCATCGATTCTCCACACGATCTGGCCTTTGTGGGAGCCGCTCACGCCACGACTCTTATAGTCCAGAAAGTTTTCTGACAGAACCTCGTCTGTAAAAGATAAAGAAAGAGGTGATAGTAAATTACAAGCAAAGGTAGTTAGTTGTTTTCTCCTGTTCTGCCTCCATTTCAAAAGCAAATATAATACAAAGGTTGTTATAAAATTATTTTATTATGTCATTATATTGTTTGGAGAATGAGAAAAAAATGTTTTTTTTGTTGTTGAAAAAAATATATTTTATTGATATTTTATGCTCTGTCCTCTGTTATTAAGAGTTATTAAGAACATGAAAAAAAAAAGACTATCAGTTTTTAGGTTACAGGCTATTTATTTGAAGAAAACTTTGTATAAAGATATACTCAACTATGTTATGAAAGATATTACAGAATTATTTGATATACTATTTTATATAATATGTGTGTAAACATGGCCATAAATGGGTATTCCCATTTTATACATTGAATAATTTGCATATTAATGTTTTCTTGAGGCAACATGTAATGAAAAAAGAAGTGTAATACTATTAAAACAATATTAATATGATTAATAATAAAACAATTAATATAAATTGAAAATATAAAACAGTAATATTGTGAAATATTACAATTTAAAATAACTTTTCTGTTTTAATATATTTTAAAATTTAAATATTATATGATGAAAAGCTGATGCTGATTTGCTGCTCAATTATCAATAATGGATTCTTAGATGAATAGAAAGTTCTGAAGAACAGCATTTATTTGAAACAGAAACATTACGAATGTCTTTATTGAGACTTTTGATCAATTGAATGCATCTTTTCTGAATAAAGATTTTTTTAAATCTTACTTACCCCAAAACTTTTGTAATATATAATGGTTTCCACAAAAATATTGTGCAGCACAACTGTTTTCAACATTGATAATAATCAGAAATGTTTCTCGAGCAGCAAATCAGCATATTAGAATGATTTCTGAAGATCATGTGACACTGAAGACTGGAGTAATGATGCTGAAAATACAGCTGCGCATCACAGAAATACATTACAGTTTAACAGAGATTCACATAGAAAACAGCTGTTTTACATTCTAATAATATTTCAAATTTTTTACTGTATTTTTGATCAAATAAATGCAGCCTTGGTGAGCAGAAGAGACTTCTTTCAAAAACATTTGATTAATACTGGCATTATATCAGGTATTGATCAAGCATTTAAAACCCTGGATTTAATACTGGCCAGTGAGAAACTCATATCTGTTATCATGTTCTCACCGATGAGGTACATGCCGATCCAGTCGCCGGCGTCCACCTCCTCTCTGATGTCCCAGCAGATGACGAGCTGGTCTGATTGACCGATGCAGTAGAGCGAGGTGCTGGCGCTCAGGGTGGAGTGGCTCTGTAAGGACACCAGATTCGTGTCGCTGGTGGATCGAGCCGAGCTGAAGCGTGTCTCGCTCTTACACTGCCGCCGGCTCTGGGAGCTCCGTGACGGCGAGGCCATGGCCGCCAGACCCAGAAACCTGCTCTGGTACAGGTTCTGCAGAAGAGTTACGTCAGATACTTCACACACAGTCAAATGCATTCTCACTATCTGAAACGTTAAAATTCTTTCAAATTCTTCTTGTGCTGCTATGTATATTTGATTTGGAACTCACATTTTAAAAATATCTCAAACTTGACACAAATTCAGAGGCAATTTCACTGCCTGGAAACCATGTCTTAGTGTTTCAAAAGCAGTAAAACTATTTTATAAACCGTATAGTTCCGGTGCTTGATTCTGATTGGCTGAGCCACGTTCGAAGCTGTTGTAAATTACTCTACAAAGTAACATACACCTTTGTTTACTTTGTGTGTTGCTCGGCAACCACTTTGTAGCAACCACAACTGTTTCTGAGGAACTACATTGTTTGGTGGAAGAATACTGTTTTTATTAATATCATTACACTTTATTTGTTTTATTTTGTGAAACCGTATTACGTATATGGAATAACCGTTTTATAAAAGCAATAAGCCCCGTGAAGCCATGGTTTACAGTGAATTTATAACAGCTAAGAGGGTTTTACTCCGCTTTGCATCGTACCTAACAACGCCTCTTAGCTGTTATAAATTCACTGTAAACCACGGCTTCACGGGGCTTATTGCTTTATTAACATCTTCTTGGAATTCCAAATGGATTATCGTGGCACAAGTGAAAATCACTTGCAGCATTCCTTCTCATCAGTATAACATCTGCTCATTAGAGCATCCGTGCTCGTCAGTAGAGTAATATCAACACACTGGCATCTTTCCTGATCTCTGGTTGTTGTTTGGATCACATCTTTCAAACTGGCATACAATAATGTACCCACATGCTTGATTTCCACATTATTGGTCATGGTCACTTTGTCTTTGTCCCATAGAGGGTTAAAAAAAATCAAGCTGAGTTTCATATAACTCAATCTCCAAATTTCTGTAATAACTCTATCTACAAATTTCTATAATAAAACAAAATTATACACATAGTGTGAACCAGAAATTAAGCATTTAAAACATTGCCACTACAAATATTTATTAATTTACATTGGAAAATGTCACTACAAATATTTATTCAAGGTCTAAGTTTAAAGGTGCAATCACCTTTGACATTTCAACAAAATGTTGGCAAAACCTGCATGGGAAAATCTATCACCCTCAAGCAAAATTCCCAATCGCGTGGATTCCTATTGAAATGACTGGATTTTGACTGTGAAAATGCACCCGAGAATGAAATATGACCACACCTTTACTCATAAATAAACCAATTTTTCTGCTATTATCATAATAACTGGGCGAGATTTAAAAGTAAACTGCATGATAATTCCGGTAAACATCATATATCAAAATGATATTACAAATAAAAAAAGTGGCCCAAAAATGTGTTATTGATATTTGCATTGTTTGTGGACATGTAACAAAGATCTATGAGTGTTAGTCAGGAAATATGGCACTTTCCAGAAGATGGACGTGAAAAGATCATGCAGAGAGCTGTGAATGGAGAGGAATATGCAACAGCAATTCAATTAGCAATTCATTACTACGGGAACAAATTGGTACACAATACATCAATATGGTATGTAAATATGAATGATCTCCATTACTTTTTCATTAATTGTACTAAATAAATAACATTTACTGTTCCTTCTGACCACACTGCAAAAAAGTGCTGTTCTTCCTTAGTATTTTTGTCTTGTTTTCCAGAGCAAATGTCTAAGGATTCTTAAATCAAGACACATATACTTGAGAAACAAAATGACATAAGACGTCTTGTTTTATGAGAAATTGATCAAAATTAAGTGAATATATGATTAAAACAAGAACAAATATCTGTCAGTTAATTCCAAGGGAAAACACATTTTCAGCTCATTGACAGATATTTGTTCCTGTTTTAATCATAAACTCACTTAATTTTGTTCATTTTCCAGAAAACAATTGAGCTGTATATTCTCAATTAGCATCTCAAGTAAATGTATCTTGCTTTAAGGATGTTTAGATAGTTGTATTAGAAAACAAAACAGAAATACTGAGAAAGATATTCATCTTTAGCAATGCATGTGGCATTTAATGCCATGATTTAAAATATCTAAAATACCTTTTTAGGCCTTAATTTGTGGAAGGGTGAATTAAGACTTTTTAAGACCTGCAGAAAGCCTGTTTACAGTGTTATGCACAAGATCATCAACCATGAGAAACAGGCCACACTCTTGACTTCTACATACAAGCCCAACATCACTCTGATCTGATGAGTTTTGATCGTCCACGTCAGTCTTCTTGTTATTTTCAATGACAGAGGCATCGACAGCATCTGTAATTGCAGGCTGAGATCAGCTCATATTCACTAGATTCCCCACTATGCCCTAAATATTTCAGCTTTATCAGAAGGTGTGATGAAATACTACGAAACTGTCAACATATCTCTGAACGCCTGCCAAGAGCTCACACACACACACAGAGACCTTAAAATAGTAAAGCCTCTGGGAGCTGCTCCACGGTAAACGGAGATAGAAAGTGTCAGAGAAAGCAAGAAGACTTAAAAACAAGCCCAAAGTGACACAACACTTATCTCCTCTGAGGCGCTTTCAAAGCTTTCCCTTCCCTGCTGGAAAGAACAGTGTCTTCTTTACCCTCATAACGCATTTGGGTCCATTTGACCCGGAAGAGATACATAATTAAAAAAAAAAAAGAATTTAAAAAAGTTACACGTTTTGTGTTCGGGTCATTTTGGACCAGGGTGTGCATGGGGTCCCATTAGGTGTCAACAATACTTTTTGTAAAATTATCTATGAAGCAATACAGCCTTTTTCCCAATATCTTTCACACACTTCTGGGACTGAATTTTGTTGATAAACATGAATTATTGACAATTATTGACGCGCCTATTGACGAACCATTGCAATGTGAAAAATTCCCCACTTTTTCCATCTGAAAGTGAAAGTTCATACAGTTTCAGAGTAATATTTATGTTGTTTTGTTAGAAATAAATATGTAGGTTTCATAAATTTGGACTGTTTTTGAGCAATCATGAGTTTCACAAATTGAAATTAATTTAATTAAATTCCATTCATTCTAATGTACAGCTCTGGAAAAATAGTTTCTCTGGATTTACCAGGTATGGGTTTGAGTAAAATGTTAATATTTGTTTTATTCTATAAAGGTCTGATACATTTTTTTTTTTTTTTTTTGCAGAAAATGAATGAATTGGTCAAAATAACAAATGTTTTCATTCAGGGATATTCCACCAAATATTGATTTCTTAACTCTTCTGAAGTTACAACATTGCTATTGTGTTGTCTAAAAATGAATATAAACCTGTCTGAAAACATGGCGTCTTTTTAGTTATTTTGACAAATTGTCATTTCATGCTCTAAATGACAACATTTTTATTTACAATTTGGAAGAAATGTCATCAGTAGTTTACAGAATAAAGCAAACATTACGTTTTATCAGAAATCTACGGAAATCCAGAGAAATTGAGAATATATATATATATATATATATATATATATATATAGTATACATTTTTCACATTTACTCATTAATGAGATGTTGCTGGTCAGATATAATATGGTTTTAGTTAAAAAAATATTAAGTTATGACTGTTTTATAAAATAACGATTCTTCAGGTCAAAACTGACCCGGAATGTGAAAATCGTATACAGATATTCAATGCATTATGAGGGTGAACTTGAGTTGAGTTGCTAAGATAAGACTTGGCAAGAATAAACATGAACCAGCATTAAAATTATAATTTTTTCTTTCATCTCAATCCATACACATAGAAATGATTCATTAAAGTTAGGAATGATCGACAAGGTGTCTGTCAGTAGTTTCACATTTACTAAACAAAATCCATGACGGAGCAGTCCATAGGTTCACATAAAAGCTTTAAAGTAAGAGTTTTGGTGGTCATGATGAGTAAATGGCGGTGAAGATGATGGTGATGATGAAGGAGGAGTCACAAGCTGAGCGAATGAAGAAGAGCACTGACCTTTACACTACACAGGTGTAGCAGCATTATGATTCAGCGACTCAAAGCACATCAAACCCTGAGGAGAAGGTCAGGAGTTACTGAAACGGCATAAAACAAACCCTCTGAGCACCACTCAGTCCTTCACTCTCAGTGCTTCTACAGAGATACAACTTCAGCTCAAGATTAAATATTGTAATAACTTGTAACATATTTTACAGTGATATTAATGTCAAATGCAAGAATGCAATAAAAATCAAAGCTGCACCATCAAACATAAAAGTACATTAGAATCAGAAACAAATACATCACTTCACACATATAACAATAAACACCCAAAGCATTATCTAGATTACAGTAGTGCACATCAGTGAAGGTCTACGGGAAGATTGCAACAGGATAAAAAGTGAACCGCTCCTTTTTCTTGTGCCTGAAGTTACCTGGTTAATCAGGATTTACACTACCGTTCAAAAGTGTGCATTCAGTAAGATTTGTTAATGTTTTTGAAAGAAGTATTTTCTGCTCAGCAAGGCTGCATTTATTTGATCAAAAATACAGCAAATAATATATAAAAAAATGATATTATTACAATTTCAAATAACTGTTTTCTATGTGAATATCTGTTAAAATGTAATTTATTTCTGTGATCAAAGCTGAATTTTCAGCATCATTAACATTTCTGATTAGTTTGAAAACAGTATTTCTTTGAAATAGACTTTGTTTGTAACATCATATTACATTATGCTAATATAAAAAAACAAACAAAAACAACTTTTGACTGGTAGTGTATCTGCACACAAACAGTAATTTCCATGAAACACAAGCAGAACTTTGAAACAGAGATTTGTTCTGGTGTTTTATGATCATTTTGGTTTTTATGATTATTTTATGATCATACAGTATGTGATGCATTTTGAACATTCATTCCTTAATGTGTAGTTAACTTTATGCAACACACCTGCCAAGGTAATGAAGTTAAACGACAGCCTCTTTGTTTAAAGTTGCTAATAAAATCAATCATTTCAATAAACCTGATTATTTCTAACACATATAACCCTTTGAAACATGACGGTAAATCAGTGAAATCGACTAGCTGCTGCCTCTGTGATGGATGTTAATGAGCTGAATGATTATCATGTGTCATCCAGCACTTCAGCTAACACTGCTATTCCCTCAATCTCAGTACTTACTGCAACTGCAGAACACATTTAATGATTTGTCGAGAAAGCATTGATCACCAAAAAATGAAAAATGGCATAAATTAGATTTCGATATTGTGTGAAACGGGGCAAATGCTCTCAATGTTAACATTACATATCCTGCATCGCTAACCAAATATTCTCTACATGACTGAAGTGAATTACGTCCCATCTGAGATTCACCGCTGATGTATCTCCATGCTGTAATGTTGTGGACGGGTCGCTTTCATCAGCATTGATCTTTCTGATAAAACACTCATAGCAGCAAGAAAGAGACTATTAGATGCCAGCAGCTGTAAGCACACACATGTGATAATGGAGAGTGTGCAAATAACACAAAATAGAAAACAAATAATATTATTATTTACGGTAACACTTTAGTATAGGGAACTCTTCTCACTATTAACTAGTTGCATGTCTATTATTAACATATTGGCTGTTTATTAGTACTTATAAAGCACATATTCTGCATGAGCATATTCTACATCCTTAAGCCTACCCAATACCTAAACTTAACAACTACCCTACTAACTATTAATAAGCAGTAATTAATAGTTGTAGTTAATAGTTAGTTAATAGTGAGAGCTGGACCTTAAAATAAAGTGTTACCTTATTTACTTGAAATCTTATGTTGTGTTTTGACCAGGAAAATATTTTCCTTTTCCAGAAAATACTAGTTAATATTATCAAATTGTTAACATTATCACAACAACTCAAAAAAAAAAAAACCTCCCCCCAAAATTGATATGTTTTGTACTTTTTTGTGATTTTTATCCCATTCTTGTAACACTCAATACTGACTGGCCTACAAAAGTATTTCTTTCAATTCAATTTCAATTCTATTCAAAAGTATACATTTCTCACTATGCTTTATTATTACCAAATATTGGATTCAATCTTTTTATCAAATTGTTTTTCTTGAATTAGCACAGGTTTTGTGTTTCTTTTTGGAGCTGATTGTTCATAGGCCTCGTTGAACTGAGCTCAAACCTCAGTTTTTGAGTGAATATTACCAAAATTATCCATAAATAATGCTTTTCTCAGTCTAAAACTGAGGTTGTATGCTGTATGCACTAGACCAGTGGTCTCCAAACTCAGTCCTGGAGGGCCTGGAAGTTTCTCTACCATACCTAAACTTAACAACTACCCTACTAACTATTAATAAGCAGTAATTAATAGTTGTAGTTAATAGTTAGTTAATAGTGAGAGCTGGACCTTAAAATAAAGTGTTACCTTATTTACTTGAAATCTTATGTTGTGTTTTGACCAGGAAAATATTTTCCTTTTCCAGAAAATACTAGTTAATATTATCAAATTGTTAACATTATCACAACAACTCAAAAAAAAAAAAAACCTTCCCCCAAAATTGATATGTTTTGTACTTTTTTGTGATTTTTATCCCATTCTTGTAACACTCAATACTGACTGGCCTACAAAAGTATTTCTTTCAATTCAATTTCAATTCTATTCAAAAGTATACATTTCTCACTATGCTTTATTATTACCAAATATTGGATTCAATCTTTTTATCAACTTGTTTTTCTTGAATTAGCACAGGTTTTGTGTTTCATTTTGGAGCTGATTGTTCATAGGCCTCGTTGAACTGAGCTCAAACCTCAGTTTTTGAGTGAATATTACCAAAATTATCCATAAATAATGCTTTTCTCAGTCTAAAACTGAGGTTGTATGCTGTATGCACTAGACCAGTGGTCTCCAAACTCAGTCCTGGAGGGCCTGGAAGTTTCTCTACCTAGTAAGTCCTTGATTAGCTGGTTCAGGTGTGTTTAATTAGGGTTGGAGCTGAACTCTGCAGGACACCGGCCCTCCAGGAACAAGTCTGAAGACCCCTGCACTAGACTGTCAATTTGTTAAGAATTATTCTGTGGTTGTTTTTTTTTCTTCTTCTTCCTTTCACTATAAATTTTTTCTATTATATTGTTCGGCTTTTATAATATCATTTTAACTAACAAAGTTAGTTCCTTAATGACATCATCACCCAGGAAGTGACATCACTTTGGATGGAAAACAACAGCACAAACATAATTAGGCATTACTAAATTATTTGATTATTTCTGTGATGTTTTGTGGTATTACACTGAAAAACAAAAACAGGTGTAGAAACCATTTTCACTCAGAAATTCATAGTATTTAACAATTAATTACAAAGAAACGTCAAGCAATGCATTGAATTAAACGTGAAATATTGAAGTAGAAAGACTGAAATAGTATATTTTCTGAAAATGTATTCCAATAATTCATGAATGCTTTAAGAATGTTTTAACATAGTCATACTCACATTCTGGAAAGCATTATTAGAACATTAATTTTTGCATAACACAAGCATCCACTCAACGCTCAACACTCATGTTGTTCAGGTACTACACTTAAGTTTAAAAGTAAGTTACAAGTTTAAAACGTACAGGAATGACCCATATGTGTGTTCACCTCCCAAAACACAAACAAACCAACATACTGCCATTGGTCAATCCCTTTAGCTCCTCAGTGCGTCAGTATTAAAGTTTTGAACAGCAGTCTATAACCGTGAGCCCTGCAAGCTGACCTTCACACCGCTGTCACTCTCCACATTCTCTGACAAGAAAGAGCTCATAATGACAGCAATCATTTTCACCGCTAACAGAGCTCATTCTTATACCCTTAAATCGACTGGATTTCTTTAAAGCCAACTTTAACCAGCAAGTATGTGTTTAATACTATGTGCAAGGTCCCGTATAGCAATTAACTAAATGGACTGCAGTGCCGTTCCCTGAGCTGAGCATGAGCTGCTTTTATCCATTATCCCCATCTACTGTAAAATTAATATTTCTTGAAGCGGCTGAACAGTTCCTGTGTTCTCTGATGGTCATATTTCAATCCACAATTAAAAGGAAATAATAAGTAATTGCAACATTTATGGACATGGTTATTAAGCACATTCACCCCAATTTCAAAGAAGTGTCCAAAAGTTTGAGTTCGCAAGTCTCAATGATTTCTCATCACTCTAATACGCAAGTATAAAATGATAAGTATAAAAAATATTTAATTTTAATAAATATGAGATTTTTTTCTGTTAATTTGGGAATAGATATGTAAATAATCTTACAATGCAAAAAAAAAAATTAAATAAAAATACATCTTCCAAAATGTACTTGATCATCTTTAAAATATATGTATTTGTTTTTTTTTCTTCTTCTTTTTTTTATTTATTTAGGAAATGATGTAAAAAAACTAAGTAACAATAAATAAACAATAGCAATATAATAGTAAATCAACATAAAAAAATGTATCAAACAATTTTTGGCTATGAAAACTCGAAGCTGTTTTTATTATTATTATTATTATTATTATTATTATTATTATTATTATTATTATTATTATTATTATGCACTTTAAAATATGCGTTTTTGTTTTTTTTTTTTAAACCTGATCTGATTTTTAAAAATTACTGTCACTGGTGCATTCTATGTAGTCAGATTCATTCAGTTTTGGAACAGGAAGCACATTTTAGATTTGCAGATAATTGTTTTGTTTAGTTATGTGTGTGTGTGTGTGTGTGAGAGAGAGTGTGTGTGTGTGTGTGTTTTGGTTTGGTTTGAGCTGCTGTGCTGTTCTTGTTTCATAGCAGTGACTATGACGTTAGAGTTAGAGTTAGAGATTTAAAGCATGTATTCTTTTACAAACAGTCTTGGGTTCTGAGACACATTCATTCTCGTATCTTCATCTAGGCAGCCTGAATATAGATTTACATGCAAAACCAGAGACAATCCGCTAGGGATTTGACAACAAAGATCCACAGAGGACAAGAGAAAGACAATGAAGATATTATTATGTCAAGTATATCTACACAAGCATCCGGTGACCTCTGCATCTGTGAGAATAAGCA